AATTTATAGAAAAAAATATAAAATTTGATATTTATTTTAATATTATTGTTGCATAAATAATTTTAATTGATTAATTAATTAAATTAAAATGAATATTTATATTTTTTATATAAATTAATTACATAAAATATAATAAATATATTAGGCTCATAATATATATATATTTTGTCATTAGCCCAACACATGTCTTTCTTTTAAAGAAAAGGGGGTACCATGTACACCAGAAATGAGCAGAATCACAAAGCACTTCTCTTCTTATTGAATCCTTTTATATTTTTTGTTTTTTAAATTAAAAAAATACTAAACCAATCAAGGTCCAAGTGTTAGTTACGCTTGGCAAAGCACTTCTCTTGAAATAGTTCGGGGAACTTCAAATTTTATTTTTCCAATATTCGTTAGTCATGACCGTTCACATTATAAGTTTATCTATTTTATCAGTATGAAAAATCATTAGTAAATACTTAGTTTAACATATTTTTTGATATTTATCTCAATTCAATTATTAAAATATAATATGAGTATAGTTAGTTTTTGTATTTTATAGATATAACTATATTTTTAAATTTATTGTCTTAATTTTAGATTAAAAAAATAATTTTTTTAATAATTATATTATACACTATATTAAATTAGAGTATACGTCAATCACTATCTAAAATTAAAGTAAATCGTTTTTTCAAAATTTTATTTTAAAGAAATCAGCCTTAATTAAGCAACAGAATTATTATTATTTTTTGGTTAAACTATTGTTCTTGGAGTTTGACAAAAAGTTGACCTGGACTGTTAAATTTTGATTAATTTTTTTAAAATAAAAAGTTTGGATGGTGATTTAGTTCAACTTTTTTTTATTGAGTACTAACTTACTTTAATTCAAAAATATTAAGGAGTCATTTGCTCATTTTGCCCTCTCAATCTCTATATAGAGGTGACTTGGTGTTATTATTTATTTATTTGTGTGTGAATTGCGCGTAATATTTACATTTCCAAACTGGTGCTTTGCCTAACTGTGGAGGCTAAGAATACCGACGCTATTGCTTTACAATCATATTATTGACAGACCAGCAAAGTGCTTTGCGTGGGTACAGTTGTAATGGGAGTAAAAGGAGAGTACAGCGATGCTTCCACCGCACGCAGAATGCAAGATCTGATGAGCAGATAATATTAAAGTCTGCCCTTCGTGATCGATGCAATTACCGCTGGCCAGAAGGACATATACTTTGCTTGATTCGCGATGCTTCGTCTACGACCGGATTGATTCGCGAGAATTTTCACTTGGAGACTATGGCTTCTTTCTTCTTGAAGAATGCATAACTAAGAAAATGTTCGGTAAGAGCTGTAACTATCATTTCTTTTCTTTCTCTTTGCTTTATAAAATCCAGGGCCACTGTTTCATATCTCCACAGAGGTGGGCCTGCCTTTATCTTACAACTGGATTGATTCGCGAGAATTTCACTTGGAGGTTATGGCTTTTTTCTTCTTGAAGAGTGTATAATTAAGAAAATGTTCGGTAAGAACTGTAATTATCATTTCTTTTATTTCTCTTTGCCAAATTAGTAAAGATGACGTTGGCTTCGCAATTTGAATTTGGAAAAAAAAAATGCAATGATTTTACATGTTTTACGCGTAAATTACTATTAAATTTGGTTGTATTTCACTTGTCTGTAATGAATACTTCTTATCTCTCCTTCCCCTCTCGTTCTTAAATAGTTATTATTTTTAATTTTAAATTTATTTAAAATTAATTATCATTATTTTTTAAAATAAATAATATTTTTTTCTTTAATTTTATTATTATTTACTTTAATTAATTATTTAATTACCAAAAATTTTTTTTTACCTTTAATTTTTTTAATAGTATTATTCTTACACTAAAATTACTAAAATTAAATAGAGAGAATAACTAAGTAACTCATATCTAATTATTAATAATAATTATTATGCATAATTTAAAATATTTAATATTTTCAGTTAAAATTAATAATTAATAATTATTTTTAAAATATTAAAATAAACACTATTTTAATTACCATTTTATTTTTTTGTCATTGAGGTTTTTAAGTATGGTTGTGGAGACTTATCACCGAAGAAACAAAAGAAAGGGTTCAGGAGAGAGGAAACTTGTATTGTGCGAGAATGACGGTGGGGTCACGGGGGCCACGAGGACAGACAACGTAGAGGTCATGAAATGGAAGTGGTTGGTAACGGATTGGATTTTGTCCTGGCATGAGGATAATGTGATGATACAGAATCTGAAACGGCGGATTGGTGGCGTGTTGTCGTAACTCGAAATTCCACTAACAAACATCCGTTATGTGATTACATTTGGCAAAAGGTGCAGATCACCCCCTAAACTCAACAACTGGTGGCAAATCACCCCCTCAACACACTTCACGCGCAAATCAACCCCTCAACTCACCTGCAGTGGCAAATCAGCCCCTCTCTTAACGCTTCCGTTAACATTTAACAGTTCGCCCATCAGTCGTTCCTCTAGGTCTAACGTGGCCTTTTTTTTGTTGAGATGGAGGTGCCCCCTGGACAAATACCTCAATCCAACCCCAAAATAAAAGCCCATATAACCTGCTCCATTCTTCAACAGCTTAACAACCTTGTTAACCCTTGTTTTGTTCTCTCCGAGGAGCCAAAACAGAGGTATGTTTGTTTCCTCAATGGAAGCTAAATGAAGTTTATGCTCTTAAATCAGTGATTTTGATGGGTGTTTTGAGGGGTTTGTTGGTGGGTTTGGGGTTTTGTGGGTTAAAGTTGCTGAATTTGTGTCTGAGATTTCTTTGGTTTGTGGTGTTTTTGCTCTCTTGTTCTGGGTCTCTTTAGTGGTTTAGATGGTATTTTGAAGTGTCATTACTTGGCTTATGGGTTTAAAGTTATCTGCTTTTTGTGAATTGAGGCATGAATTATGCAAAAGATGTTAGATTTGCTAATTCTGTGACGTGGGTTGTGCCGTAAATGATCGTTCTTTGGCGTTTGATTTTCTGAGACTTCGTTTTAGATTTTGGGTTGTGGCATTATCGGCTCGGATTTTAGCTTCTTTCTTTTACAGGCACTGTTTTAGATTTTGGCTTGGGTTAACAGTTCGCTCAATTGCCACCAGGGCAGAGTAGAGAGTGAGAAAATGGTTATCATCCACTCCAAGCTTTCGTTCCTGGTGAAATTCGTCCACACCATAAGGAAGACGAGCATGATAATCTTTTGAAGTGTATCGGCGACAATGAACCTGTAATTCATTTTGTACGAATTGTTGGTGGAAATAAAGTGGAAAGACAAGAGCGGGACGGCGAATATGGCGACGAAACAATTGATGCCGGAGCACTGGTCCGGCGAGAAAATCTTCCACCAGCGCACCAACCCGTATGCCAAGATCGTCGCCACGTAAAGCGAAATCACCGCCTTCAAGACGGTGTACAAATCCTTCCAAGAAATCATTTTTCACAAAAAAAAATAACGAAAAGAAAAGAAAAGAGTTTTTGTTAGCAAATATTTTTTTTTCTTTGGCTAAAAACCTGTTAACAAAGATTAAAACTTTGAAACCCAAAAATAAAAAAGCCACGTCAGACCCAGGGGGTGGGAGGCTTATGAGCGGATGGTTAAAAGTTAACGGATGATGATGTCAGCTTAATAGAGGGGCTGATTTGCCACTGCAGATGAGTTGAGGGGTTGATTTGCGCGTGAAATGTGTTGAGGGGGTGATTTGCCACCAGTTGTTGAGTTTAGGGGGTGATATGCACCTTTTGCCATTACATTTCAGTGTCACACGGTACACAGCACCACACACTGCAATCCCGAGATCATTGTTCAATGTTCATTGATTTTTTTTAAAAAAAATTTTGGAAGATGATGGTTTTTTTTTTTTTTAATAAAACAGAATAAATGATCCAACCTATAAAAAAATAAAAATAAAATTATATAAATTTAAATTCTTATTAACAAGTAAAATTTTTTTTTATATTTAAATATTTTAGTCGGTGAGCTTGAAGATCTTCTTTGAGCTCCTGATCTTTTTTTTTTCGATTTCTCATCCGGTATTCAGGGTTTCGTCTCGATTAATCTGGACCCGACCCGCGTCGCGCACCTGAAAATAGTGGGTAAGTCTCCCAGCGAGGACTGGTTCACAAAGTTTCGAACTCGAGACCTTGCTTAAGCTGGAACAAGCCGCTTACCACTTGATCCAACCCCTCGTTGGTCGTTGAGCTCCTGATTAATTCTACTGTTTCTCCTACTAATAAAAATATAATTGATGAACAATGTTGCAAAGTTGTCTCAAACTCCCACGTTGGAAAATCGATTTCAGTTTTGTGCAGATGGGAATGAATCTCATTTTTTAAAAATTATTAATATTCTTTGCATTAACAAAAGTATCCCGTCACATGAAAAAAATGTCAATTATTTTTGGGCAGAGAGAGTACATTTTAACTTCATTTATCTGAGGATAATTGTTGTTTTATGATTTCAAATATTTTTCAAATTAGTAATCATTTTTTATTTTTCAAGGTAAATATATATTTTTTATTTTAACCTTATTATTATACATTTATTTTAATTAATTATCATATTATAAAATTTTTTATTTAT